GCCCTCAGGAACTCAAGCAGCCCCAAGTACCTATAACAGACCCTCATCAACCCAGTCTTTTAGACGTCAGTAGTATAGCACACACCCCAATAAAATTGCCAGCATTGCAAAAATACTTAACAAATTATCCTCTTGACACAGTTGCATCTGAATTACTTGAAGGTTTTCATTTTGGTTTTAAGCTCTGCTACAAAGGCCCTAGACAAGCATATGATTGCGAGAATCTTAAATCTCTTAGGTCTCTTACTTATGAGGCCATTCAGCTAGTTAATAAAGAAATAACCCTGGGAAGAGTGGCTAGTCCTTTTGACAAACCCCCCTTGCCTAACCTAAGATTATCCCCAGTTGGCATGGTGCCTAAAAAGATGGCACATTTAGGCTTATTCACCATTTGTCATACCCTTCTGGTGAAAGCGTAAATGATGTTATAGATCATGAGTACTGTTCAGTCAAGTATACTTCCTTTGATCAAGCCTTAGAAATGTTGGCTCCTCTTGGGCGGGGGGGGGGGGCTCTCATATCACGCTTTGACATTAAGAATGCTTTTCGTTTATTACCAGTCCACCCATCTGACTTTGAGTTACTAGGCTACAAAATTAGAGACAATATTTTTATTGACAAGTGTCTCCCTTTTGGATGTTCGATAAGCTGTGCCACATTCGAGAAATTTTCAACTTTCCTTGAATGGGTGATAAGAAGTCATAGTCATTGCAGCAATGTGGTGCATTTTCTAGATGATTTTCTTCTAGCGGGCAGGGCTGGTACCCAGGAATGTAGGGAGTTAATTTTGCTCTTTAGTCATGTTTGTGCAGAATTAGGCGTGCCACTGGCACATTACAAAACCTTAGGCCCCACCACTAAGTTAGTATATCTTGGTTTGGAAATTGACACTGTTGGCATGTCGATCAGGATACCTTCTGACAAATTAGAACAGCTCCGACTCCAATTATTATATTTTTTTTTTCTCGTAAGAAGGTAACCCTTAGGGAAATTCAGTCACTAACAGGTTTGTTAAATTTTTGCATACGTGCTATCCCGGCTGGAAGAGCGTTCGTAAGACGACTTTATGACGCCTCATGTGGTCTCAGCAAGCCATTTCACAAGCGTAGGGTTAGTGCCCAGATGAAGCAAGATATCAAAGTTTGGCTCATGTTTTTACAGTCATTTAATGGGGTTACATCATACCTTCAGGTAGATTGGGCCAGCGATTATGATCCAGAATTATTCACTGACAGTGCTGGCTCTGATATTTTGGGTTGTGGGGCAGTTTTCAAAACTCATTGGTCATTCCTAAAATGGCCAAGCGAGTGGAAAGGGTCCAACATATTTAAGGACATTATATCTTGGAACTTGTTCCTATTGTCATGGCATTCACTGTTTGGGGTAATGATTTAGCAGGCAAACGGGTTATACTTCACACTGATAACAAAGCCCTGGTCACCATTCTGAATTCAAAGACATCCAAATCAAGCAGGGTCATGCATTTATTAAGGTTATTAGTACTTCATGCACTTTTACATAATATACAGTTTAAGGGTCAACATATTGAAGGCAAAAGAAATATAAAAGCTGACTCTCTTTCTCGACAGCAATGGCACAGATTTCAATGCTCCTTCCCAGAGGCGGATCCACTACCAACAGAAATACCTGCCTCCTTTATCCATATAATCTACAGCAAAGAGTTGAACAATTGTTAGGTTGTTCATTGTCTGACAGCACAAAAAAATTGTACATAGCTGTAGTTAATCAATTTAATTCATTCCGTTGTGTGTACCAGCGTGGGGAGGTTTGGCCCCCAGTTCCTCAGGGCTTGATTGATTTTGTGGCCTTTCTTTCATACAAACATTTTGCCCCAAGCACTGTAAGATCCTACATAGCGGGAATATCATTTTGTTGTAAGATAAATGGTCTGCAGGACACAACCAAATCATTCCTTCTTAACAAGATGCTTGTGGGATGGTGTAAGGCTAATGCTAAGATAGATACTCGCAAACCCATCACTTTAGACATACTAGTTAAGATGATTGCTTTACTTCCAAAATTGTGCCGGTCAACATATGAATCCATGTTGTTTAGTGCTATTTTTTCAACAGCCTTTTTTGGCTACTTTAGAATGGGTGAGCTGGTTCAGAACTCTAGGGATATTCCTGGCCATGCTATTCAAATGGGTGACGTTCATGTAGTAAGCAATAAGTCAGTTGTCATACTATTGAGGCATTCAAAAACAGATCAGGAGGGTAAGGGTACAACAGTTCAATTGTCTCCTTCTCAGGGACCCTTCTGCCCAGTTCAAGTATTGCAAACATATATGCACGCTAGGCCAAATTCTCCAGGGGCTTTTTTCTGTCATATTTCAGGCTTACCAGCTACGCGTTACCAAGTTGAATCCATATTTATGAGAGTCATTCAGCAATTAGGCCTGGATAGGGAATTTTACAAAACTCACTCTTTCCGTATAGGGGCAGCCTCCAGTGCATGGGCTAATGGCACTAGTGCCCAAGACATCTCGCGCATGGGTAGATGGAATTCTCGTTGTATGTTCAGGTACATTAGAAAGTGAGCAAGTTGTTTGTAGAGAAATGGGTACATTCTTTAGGGTCACAATGTCTAGGGGGCATAATAAACTCTGATATATTTGTTTTCATTGCATGCTTTATAACATTTCGCATTTGTCTTTTTCTTTATTTCTTTATATAGAGCGTAGAATATGGGTGGTTGGCTCATCAATAATAAAAAAAGCTTTTTGCAAGAAATTCAAGTTTTGGTGCGAACTTAGAGTTAGGGAGGCAACACACATCCATCCTATGGCAGGGAAAGGGGGGATTGACATGGAGGGAAATTTGTCCAAAGATCGGGACTTTGCTCAAGATTGACGATCCTCCACACTTCTTAGTAATTCATTGTGGGGGTAACAACAGACCTGTTCCCGGAGGGGGTAAGTCGGAAGAGTTAAGGCATCAAATAATTAGGACCCTGCGGAAACTTGCACAGCAGTTGCCTGGAATAATTATAGTATGGTCTCAAATTTTACCTCGGCTACATTGGAGGGGGGGGCATTCACCAACAAGCTATGAAGAAGATAAGAAAACACCTCAATAGCAGTGTCGCAACATTCTTAATAAAGGCCGGGGGAGATACATTAGGTACCCCGAGATCCGCCCCAATTGTCCGGAGTTGTTTTTAGGTGACAAGGTACACCTCTCAGAATTGGGAAACAACTTATTTTTATATAGGTTACAGCAAGGGTTGCAGGCTTTTAATTCAAGTCCTGAATTAAAAGTTTCACCAACACAGGGAGAGTTTGGGCCATGGCTGCGCTATGACTAGTTATGGGGTCATAGTGCTAGTCATTTTACTTACATGTAATATGGCGCCATTTTTGTTAACTTGCATTTGCTTGTGACTAGTCCTTTAATTGCGATGTATTTTCGCTTATTTGGGCAGGATTTTGCCCCTTTGCATTTTTAGCTGCAATTTCACTTATTTGGGCAATGTTTTTGCCCCTATGATATTTGCATATTAATGGCAATTTAGGACTAATAATGATTTTATCTTAGACATATTGCAGTTAAAAGTAACTTTGTCGTGGGGGGGGGGATTGCCCTACTGGTGGCACAGACCATGTGTGACATGGTCTCGTAGAGGCTATTAGGTTCACCAGTAGGACTTCTGAACTTAATTGTCGTTTAACTGAATATTTTCAGTGCATTTTGGACTAGTCACGAAAGGTGAACATCTGTTCCCAGGGTTCCCTTTGCATTTTTAGGGATGCCATTACAAGGCAATGAATTGATGCCTCGGTTCCCTCATTTCAGCGGCCGTGGTCCATTCAGCCAAATAAAATAGTTTCTTTAATTTTCTTTGCTTGTTTGTCATTGAATGCAACAAGTCAATGAGTGCATTGGGCAATCCCTGTTATTTTCAAGTGTTTTTCATCTTTTGATAATGGGATTTAACCAGTTAAGGTTAAAGCCATTTAACAAAGGGAAATACATGCACTTTATTCTTTATTTTGATCGGGTTCGGCCGTCAGCATTTTTAGCCAACCCGTACGGTATTTTTCCACTCTTTCCCGGGGTTATTAGTGTTACCTAAATAGAACATTTGACGTCACAGCGCATTGTGTCATCAGTCGACGCTGAAAATTTCACCCTCCCTCCCTATCTCTGTCAAGCAATGGTTTAAAGATGTAAATAGTCAAAGTTCAGGGGTGTATCAAGATGTAAATAGTCAAAGTTCAAGGGTGTGCTCTTTTCCAACTACATGTATATGTAAATAATCCAGTGTTTTCTTTAAAAAAAAAGGAGGTATCTTTTTAATTCTTCAATTTGCATTGTTATTTTGATTTTTTTTCTGCTGTTTTTTGTATTGTATTTTTTCAGAGCGTTTGCGCAGCTGACTTCAATTTTACGGAAGAACACCTCGTCACGGTCGCCTCTTTTGTGTCAGCCTTTACAACCGTCAATGGACCTGCGGCTATTAGGCTCACCAGTAGGACTTCTGAACTTAATTGTCGTTTAACTGAATATTTTCAGTGCATTTTGGACTAGTCACGAAAGGTGAACATCTGTTCCCAGGGTTCCCTTTGCATTTTTAGGGATGCCATTACAAGACAATGAATTGATGCCTCGGCTCCCTCATTTCAGCGGCCGTGGTCCATTCAGCCAAATAAAATAGTTTCTTTAATTTTCTTTGCTTGTTTGTCATTGAATGCAATAAGGCAACAAGTGCATTGGGCAATCCCTGTTATTTTCAAGTGTTTTTCATCTTTTGATAATATGTTTTCATGGTTAATTATTTGTTTAGACAAACATTCCACCTATTCCCACATGAAGTCTTACCTCTTCCTACCTAATGTTCAATAGGTAGAATACAAACAAGAAGAGCTACAGTTTCGAAAGAGAATTCTGGTTTTATTTGAAAAAAATGTATCACGACATTTCTTCATTTATAATTAATAATACATCTAAAACATCATAGATTAAGACATTTTCTTTTAGGTATCTGTTTGATTCTCGTGAAATCGACGTCTCTTGTTGAAGCCTACAGCTGTAAACAATTTAGAAATGGGTGTCCAGATAAGCAGTACTGGAGTAATGAAATCTTTGAATGTACGTATTACACGTATAATAAAAAAAATGTTTTTGTTAAATTAAAGTATATATATCATAATGCTTTTTAAATTTAAAAAGGTTTAAGGTATTTCAGTAAATATTGACCTCTAATCTAACTTCCTTTTATCAATGATTTTCATGAAAAATAACCCTATGAAAAGTTATTTTAAAAACACTGTGATCGATTACAATAAAGGATTCACTTTGATATTAAATATAGTTTGAGTATTTAGATCTTTTAAATATATTTAAGAAACAAAATTGACTTATTTTTTTTAAATACGTATACTTATGTTTTAATGTTAATAATATGATTTATTCTGAATCTTATTCTAATTATATATTTATTATTATTAAATAATTCTATTTAAAGATCCAAGTTGCCTATCTATTGGACATAGATGTTTTCTTGCTGAGCCTCTCTGTAAAGATGAAGGGTATGTAATTAGTATTTTACCCTGGCAGGAGAAATAATATTAAAATAATAAAATCATTTTATAATTAATATTCATAGTTAAGTTCACTATACATGTACTTGATAAAACTTCAATTTATTTTACGTTGAAAAGTTTCAGTGGTAAAGAAAACCCACAATTTTTAACATTTACATGTAGAGCAATTTGTTTATAAGTAAATAAAAGACCCCTTACATACATTCTTTTATTCTCTCTCTGTCTATCCCTTCTGTATACCATGTGTGTGAGGGTGTGTATGTGTTTGAAATCAAATTCTGTTTAAGCCACAGTACTGATATGTCCAAAGAAAAAGTCATTTCTAATAAAACTCAAAGATCACCTATAATTTTCCTGTCTTGTGATGGTTCTTGCACAGTTACAAAATATGTAGGATAGTCTTATTTACAATTCATGCATATACAATTAGAATATTTCTTTTTGCTATCGAATAGAATTGCTACCATTGGACCTTCAGAAGTCACTCAAGGTACAACAAACGTCTACTTGGGATCGACCATCTTAAATACAAGTTTAGGAAATACCCCCAACCCAGACATCGATGGAAGTAATACATGGGTCTGGATCCTAGTTATAGGAGTATTTCTGATAACCGTATCCATACCTGTCTGCGCGCTTATATTCATCTTCAGAAGAGGAAATCAGAAGACTTTAGGCGGTATCTGATATCTTCTCTGATATTTTCTCTTATATAAAATTACATAAACTGGATTTTAAAGTTAAAAGAAGTTTTTAAATATTTTTCTACCTCAGATATTTATTTTGTTCAACACAAATAGTGAAATTTGAACAGCATTACCTGAAGTTGAATTAATTTCATATGCACATTGTTAGTGTGTTTCAACATTTTAGTTTATTAAATCAATAGAATTGCTAACTTTAAAACAAAGGTATGAGGACGTATTCGGTTGTTTTATTAACACACTTATCTAATTAAACTGATTATTATTTGATACGTCTAAAATTCAAACGTGTACTTTTATTGACAGCTAATCTGTCAATAACGGAAATAACAAAAGGAATATACATGTAGTTTAAATTGACACTAAAGAGATTCTGTATTTTGTTCGTTCATTCCATTTTTTCTTTTTAAATATAGAGGGGCACAAGGAAGAGGAGACAATTCCCCTTAAAATGGACAGCTCGGGAGAAAGAGAAAATTTTAACATGGGTAATTACTTTATAAAATTGTGAATGTAAACTACAATATTCACATTTGCTCTGTTTTTCTACAAAGCCGACTGTGAAATTGATTTGAATAGCATTTTTGTGTATACTTACATGTATGCGTAGAAATAAACAAGGAGAAACATGCGTTAACGTGAAGTCACAATGATGTTGCAGCGGCGTTAGTAAAAATGCAAGGATATATGGTAGCAAGGAATTCAAATATTGAGTAAATTTTAGATGATCCCAAACGTAAAATGTAAATATAGGGAATTTTTTAAAAATGTTTTGTGTGCATTGTTGGTGTAAGAATCACACAGGCTTACACGTAATCATATTTTTTAAAATAAATTTTTTATTTATATTTTATTTAAATATGCCTACTTGACAAGTCTGTGTGATGCACACAAAACGTAAAAACATTCCCTAAATATTCAAAATAGGAGCAGAGCATACACGGACCTCCGAAACATCAGAGGTGGGATCAGGTGCCATGGAGGAGTGAGCATCCCCTGCTGACCAGTCACACTCGCCGTTTGCACCTTGTCATGACCGGAAAATAACGGAAAAATCCGCCGTCAATTCAGTGTATATATAATGTACTAACAATTGGTATGAAAAACGCCAGTCAGCATTTGTCTCAATGATAAATTGTATTTGCTCACAAGGTCATTGTATCGACCATAGAATTTACGAAATGATGACTTTAAACGAGACTGTTGATATTCTTGTTCATTAACTTGCTTGTCAATAACTTACCTCGTTTTAGAAATTGTTCATACGTATAGCATGCTCTTGCGTATCGAATCAACTGTGATACATACATTCTGTATGCAGGTGATGAAGGTGTATTGCTTCATTATAAGCAAGGAAAGTTAACGATAGAAAAGTTAAAGTTATCACGTTTATCATATAGTTTGGTTGTAAGATTACCATTAAGTTTTTTTCAAGTAAAACATCCAAGTATGAAGCAGATGTGTCAGACTCTATAGTATCTTTTATCTCAAGCTCAAGCTCACCAGGATATCGTATCGACGTAGAAATGGAAATGACCATTGTTGATTGACAATAAGTTGTCGATTTATCTAAATGTCATGTTGAAGGCCACAGCAAGTGTTTTCTTTACACGCTTTAGACTATGCACAAATTCTGCTTCATTTGAATATAAAAATAGGTCTGCTAATAACGGAGCGCATTTGGTACCCCTGGGAATTCCAATAGATAGCGCTAACTTATTCCCAATATTATATTTTCTCGCTGCCCTATATCGTGATACTTAAAATTTAATTAATGTCTCTGTAGCCCCATTGTGATGTCACTTTAGCGCGAGTTTTTCTGTGTATATTTCTACGCGTGAGTATAAAACAAAATAGCATTCAAATCAATTTTATAATTGTTATTTGAGAAAAACACGGCAAATGTAAATATTATTTTTGCAGAAACATCGTGCTTTAATTTTACTGATGTACATTGTCCTGTTTTATTTATGGTTTAGAAAGTGATGTCAGAAAGGTATTTCTTTTCACAGTGATCTCATTATTATTCTATATTATTTGGTGTTATAGTATTGTGCCTATTACATCTAAACATCTGAATCATATTATGTTTCTTAAAAAATTGTGAACATATCAATAGTCTTATTAAGTTATGGTTTCCCCTACAGTTATAATGAGCAGAAAACAATTTAAGGAAGACATAGGAGAAAAGAAGCCTGATGATAATTCCTTGTCAGATTATGTAGTGGAAAAACAGGACAACATGCCATATATAGATGAAACCAGCAATGCAGCATACTCCCCATCGGAAGACATTAGCAAAGAAGAATATTCCTCGTCGAATAAAGACGTTCCAGTCGAGATAAACAGTTACTTAGACCAACAGGAGGGCAGTGACAGAGTAGATGCAGAAAAGCTTAAGATAGGTGAGATTGAATTTTGTTTGAGAATACAAGTTTGGAAATTCACATCCCCGTTTTTTTGAAACCAAAAAACACTTTGCTTTCAAATAACTATGATACCGTTTTCTTGAACATATATTTTAAATGATTAAAAGTCACTGAAATATGAGAATGTGAAAAAGTTAATAGAATAGATAATAATTCATATATTGCTTTCTGACTGACATTCTGACTTGCTGTCTGTTCTTTACTCTTCGTTTCTAGAAGTCTGTTTGAATTATTCAGTGTTGAATTCAAAGTTGAAAATTTTCATTACATTATAAAACCCAATATATTACAAGGACAGAATTTTTTCTTATGTTATTATGAAAAGAAAGTACAAACTTTTGAGTCACTCAATAAAATCAGTGGGAACAGGTATATTGAAAGAAATAAAAGGAGTCAAATTTACCTTCTTTTTTTTTTAATTTTCCTAAATGACACCGATCCCGACCGGGTTAATAAAGAAGAAAATAAAGTCAAATTTGGCTCTTTTGTTATAATAAAAATTAAAAATTACTTGATTTATTTTTTTTACATGCCTTATAGGTGGTAGGTGTCTTTAGTTTGATAAATGTATTAATTTTGCATCATTTTCGATCGGGATCGTTTCTATTTCAATCGGGATCGATTTTTACCGAAAATTTTGAAATATTTCCTAAATTTGGCTCTTCATTTTCATTTATCAGAAAAATATGCTTGTCATTTATTTCTTTTCACAGTAAGTCAACTGTTTTAAGTTCACCTGAGCCAAAGCTCAAGTGAGCTTTTCTGATCACATTTTGTCTGTAGTCTGTCTGTCTGTAAATTTTTCACATTTTCGACTTCTTCTCAAGAACCGCTGGGCCAATTTCAACCAAACTTGCTACAAAGCATTCTTGGGTGAAGGGGATTCAAATTTGTTCAAATGAAGGATCACGCCCTCATTCAAGGGGAGATAATTGGGAATTAATAAAAATCTGGTGGCATGTTTTAAAAATTTTCTTCTCAAGAACCACTGTGCCAGGAAAGATGAAACTTATATGGAAGCATCCTCAGGTAGTATAAATTCAAGTTTGTTCAAATCATGACCCCCGGGGTAGGACGGGGCGACAATGGCCGACCAAAGTTTTACATAGAAATATATAGGAAAATTCTTTAAAATCTTCTTCTCAGGAATGACAAAGCCATAATTGATCATATTTATAAGGAACCATCCTCAGGTAGTGTAGATTCAAGTTTGTTCAAAACATGACCCCCGGGGTTAGGGCGGGGCCACAATGACCGACCAAATTCTTACATAGAAATGTATAGGAACATTCTTTAAAAATCTTCTTCTCAAGAACCACTGTGCCATGAAAGATGAAACTTTTTTGGAAGCATCCTCTGGTAATGTAGATTCAAGTTTGTTCAAATAATGACCCCCGGTGGTAGGGCAGGGCCAAAATGGCCGGCCAAAGTTTTACATAGAAATATATAGGAAAATTCTTTGAAAATCTTCTTCTCAAGAAAAACAAAGCCATTATTAATCATATTTATATGGAAGCATCCTCAGGAAATGTAGGTTCAAGTTTGTTCAAAACATGACCCCCGGGGGCGGGGCCACAATGACCGACCAAAGTTTTACATAGAAATATATAGGAAAATTCTTTAAAAATCTTCTTTTCAAGAACCACTGTGCCAGGAAAAATGAAATTTATATGGAAGCATCCTCAGGTAGTGTAGATTCAAGTTTGTTCAAATAATGTCCCCCGGGGGTAGGGCGGGGCTACAATGGCCGACCAAAATTTTACAAAGAAATATATAAGAAAATTCTTTGAAAATCTTCTCAAGAATAACAAAGCCATGACTGATCATATTTATATGAAGCATCCTACGGTAGTCTAGATTCAAGTTTGTTCAAATCATGACCCCCAGGGGTAGGGCATGGTCAAAATGGCCAACCAAACTTTTACATAGAAATATTTAGGAAAATTCTTTAAAAATCTTCTTCCCAAGAATAGCAAAGCCATGATTGGTCATGGGACTACTTTTGCATTTAAACTTTTCAATAATAAACCAGTTTCTACTTTTTCCTAGCCACAGTGCTCAGGTGAGCGATGTGGCCCATGGGCCTCTTGTTAATGAGAGTATCCAAATATCTAAATGTACATATTTAAATTACTTGTCTTCTACGTACATGAAGATTACATGTAAAACATCTGTTTGATTTCTTGATACTCAGTATCTAAAAAAGTATTTGTACATGCAATATGTAAGAACTGAAAGCAGACAGCATTCTAGCATAATTATTAAATATCTTATTTCGAAGTAAAATTATTTTTTTTATTATCTTAGGAATTAAGAGTCAAATTTAATCAGTGGCGAAATTATACTTGCCTTTACAGAGCATAAATGCATTTTAATTATTTGTACAGTCTCAACTTTTTCCATTTTTTTTTACCTGTCATCTGTAAAGCCTTTCCCCCTGTATTTTCCTCTTTTACAAAATTTATAATATAAAAAGAAATAAATAATTAGAATTAAAAAACGAAATGTTTCACCAAACCATCTTCCGTTTAAGGGGCCAAATTAATTATAGTAATAAGTTCAGCAGTAATTTAATTCAATAAAAATATTTTTATAACTTATTTTTCAGTTTTTACAAATATCATGAAAAAAAACATCTCAACTTCGTTGTATAAAATGTTGCGTAAATCTAAAACATTCATGATCATTGATTCCTGCATAATCAGAAGAAAATTAAATCTCTTCACATTCCAATTTTTTAAGAAATGTTCATTATAAACACTTCATTAAACATTTTTATGCATATCCTAGTAAATTCGTTAAAAAAATTAGTTCTCAGTCATGTATAAAATTATTTATCAAAACGGGCTTGTTTTAATGCATCTAGCTGAGACGCTGCCCGTGTATAAAATATATTTTGATATAAAAATATTATCTAACATTTAGAATAATGCACTTTGAAGAGTAATTAAACAGGAAAAGAGAAATTATTTCTTCTAAATCTTTTTCTTCACACTTTTACGCAAAGAATTTACACAAACTTCTCTGGAAAACTTGTAACTATTTCATTGTGATGCAATATTAGTCAGGTAAATGACATCACTGATACATCAAAGGAAACGTGGAAACAACCTGAATAATAGAACAAATTTTAATCCAAATTTTACGTTTGGGGGTGAAAATGAATTGCATTTTAAAAATACATAAATTATTTTTTGTTTAAAAATTTTCTTTAGTGTATCGAATCGAAATATTTCACCAGGATTCCAATCAAAAGGTGTTTAGCAGATTTACCGATGCCACGGGAAATAACTCTTGCATCGCAAAATTTCATAAAACGTCTATATATTTTGCCAGGAAACTGATATCAAAAGTGTTTTTCCCACCGATTTTATTTTTAAACAAAAAGATGAATTATTTCTAGATTTAGTTTAGTGTGAATTATAGTCCTGTTTTATGTATTAGAAATTACAGTTCCTTGTTTCTGACCTACATTCAATGGTTTATATAGGGGAATTGAAAAACACAAAACACAGGGATATTTTACTAAATAACCAATTTTCAAACAAATCTTCAACTACATTATTCCTTTTTGACTACATTGATTTTGTTATTGATATTGATATTGTTTTTAATAAAATATCAAATATTCCTCACATTCGATGTGCCGCCTATTAATACAATACTACCTGGTTTTTCGGTGGACTGCATCTTAATACTTCAGAATAAAAGATAACAATTTTACAAGAATGACTTTTTTTCTGATATATTTTTTACACTTTGATTAAATGCTAACCTACGGGTATACAATAATCATTAGCAACCATCAATAAAAATTCTATGCAAGAGTTTTATTATAATGCACGGATATATTTGGCCAATTCATTGGCTTGAGGCGCGGGTTCGACAACAATAAAGGAAAAATGTTTTTGATAAAGGGGCATGGATACAGTTTAAGCTAAAATTTTAAAATATATTTTTTTAATTTTTACAATTATTTAACCAGGGTCTATTTGATGATCATCAAAAATTTGAACGTCTGTTGTCGAGATACAAAACAGATTTCGATCTCCAAACCTTTGTCATGTAAACAAGGTCCATGTCATGTTTTTGTTTACGTAGGTTAATATACTAATATATGTTTGAACAAAGTAGATAATTTCAATAATTTTATGTTCATTTTTTATACGATTCTACATTATAGTGTTTTGCCCCCCCCCCCCCCCCCCACACACACGATTGATTGATTGATTGATTGATTGAATGAATACTGTTTAACGTCCCTCTCCAGAATATTTCACTGATATGGAGACGTCACCATTGCCGGTGAAGGGCTGCAAATTTAGGCCTATGCTCGGCACTTAAGGCCTTTGAGCAGGGAGGGATCTTTATCATGCCACACCTGCTGTGACACGGGGCCTCGGTTTATACGGTCTCATCCGAAGGACCGCCCCATTAAGTCGCTTTTTACGACAAGCAAGGGGTACTGAGGACCTATTCTAACCCGGATCCCCACGGGGTGACACACACACACACGAAATAGGATAGGATTTTCAACTTTGGGCAACTTTTTCCTTTTGTTTGTTATTATTTTTTTTTGCTTGTCAACTTTTTCAGGTAAGTAAAAAAATATTTCTCTGGCTGCCCCCCTTTTCAAAATCGATGATACGCCACTGCCTATTAAGTGTTTCTTAAACCTACCATTTCTAGTGTATGTAGTGTTGTCAAACTTGAAACCTACAGAGTACATGTATACATAAGGCTTGGGGTCAATTACTTTGAAGAGGAATTAATTACTTTCAAATACATTGATAATTTTGTCAATTACTTGCAATATTATTACAATTACCTTGATTTTTTCAAATGTAAAAAAATACTTTCCATTACTTTGACAAATGTAATTAAATACATTTTAATTACTTGAGTTTTATTTTTATAAAGGAAGAAAAATAAAAATTTTTTAAAATACATTTTTTCTTTAGTGAACTTTTATTCAGTGTTTTTCTTTTCGGGTATGAGAGGAGTTCACACCTGTTCAAAATTAGACCTTTACTTAATCCCCTGGGCAGTGTGACACTGAATAAACAAATTTTAAAAAACATTATGAGACATTTAATTATTGTACAAACACAAGCCAGTGCTCTACCAGTATGGTGTATGTTTTTTTTTGTTATTTTCTCAAATCCATATTTCTGAGAGAAAAAAAATTCTAACAAATCCATTCAATATTTTAAACATAAAATTAATAGAATATAGGTAAATCTAAAAGGGGAGGTAGTTAGTCTAATTACTGTGAAAACAATTAACTATCTAAACATCTTTGTTATTTGCAAGGCTGCATTTCATTTCCGGAATTTTGGGTAATTATCAATTTTTCATTTCCGACATTTTTTATTTTTCATTTCCGACATTTTTTTGTTTTCATTTCCGACATTTTTCAAAAACATATGTAGTACTTTTAGTTACATATTTGAATACTTTACTTAAGAAAAATTGAAACAAAAAAATTCATAAATAAATCATTGAAATCCTTTATCGGAGTTTTGCAAATCTATCAATGACTTGGACAATGTGGTGCTGTTGTCACTGACATTAAATTTTATGCACATTAGATGTGGTGAAAAAGTTTATGCACATTAAACTCTTTTACCTAAACTTAGTGCCACATGTATGCATATATGTGTAGATGTTTTTTTATTAATTAATTTTTTTTATCTTTTATCAATATTTTGTAATAAATACTTTTAAAATCCATTTTCACTTACTTAGAAAACATTGAATTGCCGCACAGGTAAATTCCGGAAATGAAAACAAAATTATGTCGGAAATGAAAACAAAAAATGTCGGAAATGAAATGAAAATTTGTAGGAAATGCTATGCATATTTCCGGAAATGAAATGCAGCGATTTGCAAGTGGGAACAGGTAAAATTGAGATTTTTAAAAAGTAGGAATAGGTAGGATAAATCCACAAGTACAAAAACTGTGTATCAGTATAAGACCCTTTTTTATAACATTCATTTTGAAGAAAAGTAATTGAAAAGTAATTAAAAATACTTGACCTTTTTTGAAATGTATTTAAATACATTCACTTACTTTTGATTGAAGGCGAGCTCAAATACAAATTACTTTCAATTACTTTGCAAAATTTTATTAATTACGCTCAATTACAATTACTTTATTCAATTACCCCATCTCTGGTATATACATATTCTTAAACTACATGCAAAAGCGGATAAGTGAATATTTTTGAATATACTGACAATAGAAACCTACTCAAGGCGGATCGAGGAATATTCCTAAGGGACTAATCAGTATACATATATATTATTATAACAGTAACTTGATCCGAAGGGTCGTATCACGTCGAGTTGACAGGCGCAGATCATCAGATCTAACGAGACGCGAAGCGTCGAGTTTGATCTGATGATCAGCGCCTGTCAACGAGACGTGACACAGCTCTTCGGATCAAGTTACTGTTATAATGATAAATTTATTATATACCCCCTCATAACTAGCAATATTTAGCAAAAGAAAACTTCAGAAATCAATTGCTTGACATTTATCCATAAAACAAAGCATAATAACAAGGGACTTTTTAACGCGCAAGAAATATTACGTCATATTTCTGCGTACTACGTCATCAGTTTCAGAGAGTGGTGATATGGATTAAGAAAACAACATGTTGGTGATCCGGAAAATCAGATCACGACGTCACGTGATAGCGTAAATTCAACAGTAAAATTGGGTGATACACATTAGATATATAATAAATGTACAGATCTTTTAATTATACCCGCTCTCCGAAGCCAAGGAGAAGGAAAGGGGTAAACTGTTTTACCTAGTGTGTTTGTCCGTCTATTTAGCTGTTTGTGTATCTGTTCGTACAAAGTTTTGATCACAGTTTTCGCAGCAACTACTCATCACAAATGCTTGAGATTTTAGCATATTCTTCACTGATGCATGCTATATCGTGGCATCTTTTTTTAATCCGATATTAACTACCTTTTAATCTGTGCGTCTGTCGTACAAAGCATAACACATTTCCGTCGCAGTTTTTTTTCCAGCAACATGTACTTATACTGAATATGCTTGAAATTTAGCACATACTTTGTTACGGCATGCCATATGATGGGATTTGTATGAATCTGATGTCAACTTCCTATTTATCCGTGCATATGCTCGTAACTGAACTTGTGTAAATTTTAATTAACATATCAGTGTATTTACACATCAGAGCGGGGTATTTCTAGCGAGCATTGGTTCATAGATTTGTTTTTAAAAATATCAAACAAGTATATAGTTAACTTGTTAAAATTTTCCCAAATACTTTGTTTTATGTACACATATAATGACCGTATGTTTTGAGAAATCAATATATGAGAGTAAGTGCAACTCTTTTTTTATGAATATTGGAAATGTTGACTTGATAATGAAATCATTCAAATTAGAATTAACCAACATCTTTTTCAACAAGATGTTGTCGTTTCTTTAGTTTTTTCCCTTTCCAATTGTGTATGTTTTTTTAATTGCTGTGTAAGGCGGAAACAATAAAATTGTATTTTTACGAATTTGAATTTAAATTGAACAAGAAATAAGATTAAATGTAAATTAGAACAAAGCTTTATTCTATGAACAAACATCTTTTCTCTTCAGTTGTATGAGTATGAATTAACTTAATTTTTTTGTAATTTTATCCATACCTTCTGTCAATATTTGCACACATTTTTATCAAATATTTATATAAAAAAAACTCATTTATAGAATTTGATAAATTTTGAATCAAAGTTCCAATCTCACACAATATTGGGTGACAACCACATCACCAACCCAGCGGTTCAAGAAGGCTTATTTAGTGTCAAAAGAAAAACCTTCTTAATTTGTCTCGCATCCCCAAGTTTTGTCTTATAAATCGAACGACTCGGACATATTAAAACGAGGAAAAATATTCTTACATGTATTTGCGAAATATATTAGAATGGCATTAAAAATATTATCTTATCATTTATTGTCATACCATCAAAACTTTACGTGGTATCAGAAAATGTCAAAAAACAATATGTGCGTTAAAATGCGTGATTGTGGGACAACGGTAAATACGTTAAAATGCCTGACAATGGGGAAGGGGGTTAAAAAGGACTTTCATAATGCGATAGATTGTTTTAATGTTTTCTGTAAGTCCAGATATATGGTTATCTCCTCTTCACTTTTCATTTCTGATTGTATTTGCGTATGGAGAGAACTAATATAGGCCATTAGCCTGTTGTTTAATCCTTTTCATTGTATTCTTCTTTTTATACTATGAATAAAATACCCCCTAAACTTGATTGATTTGTTTAAACTATTAATAGATTAATTATGATAAATGGTTTAAACTTAATAGATTAATTATGAAGAAATGGTTTAAACTATGTTCCACAATTTTTAAGTATTGCAAATATACTAATAAATCAAAATTTCTGTCTATTTTACCAATATTGCTAAATACTGGGTAGATGATTACTTGAAATCTTGCTCAAAAGGTCTTTTTACTACGTTATTAGGAGCAGCGGTAAAGCGCATGCTGTGTAAATTGGGGATGGGTGGGTTACAGAGTTCTATTCTCTTCCCGGTGCAGCATCAAACGTTGATAAAAATGTCCTTCTTTTGGTGAATCTTTCAAAGATTCCCGTTTAATTCTGTATTGAACACTGACCACTTCCAAAAATAAGAAATAGTTTTTGATTGTTCGCAATCATATTATAGATTAATTATCTTTTTTTCAGCTGATATGTATCGTGACGTCTATGAAATATGGAAAACAGAGATGTCAGGTAAATAAATGTTTTTTTTTATTATTTCAATTAAAGTTACATTGATTGATTCAGAACGTTAATTGGTTAACATCCTATTTGAGAATTTTTTTCCCGATAAAGTGACATACAATGTAATCTTAGGCCAGAGATGGGCTCCAGAAGGATGAGATGACATAAATATGTTTGGGGCTCTTTTTCTACAATAAATTATATTAAATCTACAACCACTCTGATTATTTTCAAACAGGAGTGAAAGAAAATGACATCTTTTGTATAATTTTGAAGAATACAATGCATTATCCGTGTTTTCTAGACCAAATGATACCAAATTTGGTCAGATTTGTAACCGTATGTTCTTTTATGAGTAAAGATGAATAAAATAGGGAGTCTTAGTAAAATAGAGGCATATGAATTTCCGAGGAATATGGCGTTTGTATTATTTCGTACATAGTCGCATAGAGAACAATTGTCCAATCCGATGAATGAATGTATATTTGTCAATGCCTAAACAAAGACTAGATAAAAGCAATACATATCAAAAAACAACTTATCCCGTCAAAAATGTCGGCCTCCGGTAAATTGACAAAGATGTAATGTTCAAATTTTAATCTTAATTTTCATGCTACTTATCACTGATGGTTTTCGGAAGATTTTGGCTGGTCACTGTGTTCTATTGATATCTACCGATATGTGAAATGAAAAAAAATGTTCCTAACTGCGCTCACATGTTTTTTTAATTGGTAAATCTTGCTGGCTTTAACCATTGTGAACTGATTGACGAAAATAGGGGTTTGACGTAAAATACATTAATATGATAATTGAGGCACTGGCGATACTTTTCAAATGACCAATCAGCTAAGATGCATTACGAGTACGTACCATAAAAATACTTAGAAACTTAGAATGCTAAGAAAAAATGCTCTTTACTTGCTAAATCCAATAAACCTTTTTCTATGCATTTGGGTCACAGATTAGACACGGATCTACAATTTCCCAGCTCAAAGTTACTAACAGTTGATTGATATATATACAAAATTTAAAGGTTTGTAAAGCATTTGGTGGGCAATTCACTATAGGTCTATACGTATTCAAAAGTATCAGTGAATGCTAGTTTCATGTGTATTTTATTTTTGTACTGTTATGTATAAACAGTCTTGGCTGACCATTTATAAAAGTTATAAAGTTATAAATAAATATATTAGAGATAATGTTTAAATTGACCTAAACCTTGTCTCTGATAAAATGTAAACTAAAAACAGCGTGTTTTGGCGTTCTGTAATCGGATTGGACAATTTTTCTCGGTAGCGACTACGAAATAATAGCAAAAGCTATATAATATACCTGTAAGGAAGATTCCTCGAACATGCAGAACCTTCTTTTGTAATAAGACCCACCTATTCTCTTTTCATTAATATACATAATAAAACATATTTTCACAAACCAGGCCGAAATTTGCTGTCATGGTGTTTAACCCTTTCTCTTCCGGCGCATTTTACGTGATTTTGGAGGCCTTTTGACATGGCATTATTAAATTATTTTTAACTTTTTTATCCAAGGAGAGAGCTAGGCATAATGCATACCATTTTGTAGGAAATTTCTTAGAGATGATATTTTATGACTATTTAGATACTCAACCACTGACCTTATTAGTAAAAAGTGAGGTCAAAGGTCATTTAAGTGCAAAGTTTTATGGAATTTTTTGATACTTTTTAATCTTTAAGCTAATTATTAAGTATGATGTATGTTGAAATAGGAAATTTGGTATATACCCAAAAAAGAGCATTATACTGTACTACATGAAACACATAAACTTTTTTTTCAATTCTGCATATAACTACTTAAAAGGGGTTGCTAAGCAACGCAGAATTCTTTAATTTTCCGGCAGAAATTTTCATTTTTTACTCATCTTAGACACATTTATGCATCCCAGCACATATAAAAGTTAGATGTGAGGTCATAAAATTACAAGGGACATACAACAGATAAATTGTCTTAAAGTTTGACTTTATTAGAACTATTTTTAGGAGGTCAAAGGTCAAATAAGTGCAAAAGTTTCATCAATTTTTTTCAATTACTTTACTTGCCATTATTTTACACAATGGATGCTGAAATGGAAAATTCTGAATATACTCTCAAGAAGGGATCAGAACTGCAATATCCGTGCATCATTTTAGTTCAAATATATGTTTAATGACCTTTAAGTGGTTGCTAAGCAACATCATTTTAAAGTTTTTGGCTATATACATGTTTGTTATATGTTTGTTAGAACATTTTTGTATTAAAAATTGACCTTGACACTCTTGTTCTTCAGGGGATCAAGGTCATATCAGTACAGAATTCTGCTTTAAACTGTAGTATTAATTTTTAAATGCTTCAAACATGGATAAATCATCTAATAGCTGACGTAATAAAAATGGCGAATGACAAAATTTGCAAGCAAATAATTCTGGTCTGGCTCTTACAAACCCCTCGCAAAACATGTATACAATCTTTTTGTTGAACAAGAAATCCATTCTCTTGATGCCATTAGAAATAATCTTTATTTTCATGAATTTAATCTAACAAGAAAAAAAAACTAAATGATTTCATTACAAGATTTTTCTGGTATAACAGAGTTTAAGGGGTACAATAAAGACTTGACGTTATCTTGGAGGGAAATAATAATAATAGATAGCATTGGCAATATTTAACCCAAAACTGTTTAGTCAATAAGTTGAAAAGTTGACGCTTATATCCAAATATACAAATCCAGAAATATTGCAAGATGAATTCCAAATCAGTCTGAAATCTTCAACAAAATGTTGAAGAACACTTTTACTTTGTGTCCATCATTCTTTTATCAACTGTCATTTCTCTGTAAGACTGGAGGAAGTTCTTTGACTTGTCCAAGAAAAATTATTATTTGCTGTCAATTACAAGTGATCAGCTTCTATCCTGTAAAAGATTAAAATATTTTGAAACAGATACATGTCATTGTGCATATGAATTTACATTTATAAATAAAATTAAGAATGCTAAAATTACTACATTTAATTGATTTTCCTTTTAAAATTAATATTGTATTTACAATGTGATTCAAGTAGTTAAATGATATTGCTAAGTCAATGTATCAGGACTGATAATTCAACAACCTTGTAGTAAACCATCATGGTAAAATTACTGAACTAAAACAAATAGCATAATTGGCAATCTAACTAAAGCCAGACCTCTGTTTATGCTATTGCAACATATAAAAAAAACTGGCAGTGGATGGAAGATCTAATTTTAATTATGCTACGAAAGCCATGAAGGGACACATCAATTTTTCAAAAAAGTAAAAAATGAGATATCGAATTAGACAATCCAATCCCATGGATTACTAATTTGAAATCGTTCCATCGATTTATAATTCGAGATCTCAAATTACACAATCCGATCTTACTGATTACTAATTTGCCCCCTTAATTCATAATTTGAGATCTCAAATTACATACCGGTAATTTTTTTTCACAGATTAATAATTCAGGATCTTGATTTGTTACAATGTCAGTCTTATGATTTTGGCAATCTGTGCTCTTGAATTTCATTACATATATGTACAGATACATCCAACCATTTTAATCAATTAGTGCGTTCTGTTTATTTTGTTTCAGCAACCGGTTGTTACCAACATCTTTCATAACTAATTCAACGTATATTTATTTTAGAAATATATTACACAGGACCCATATTCACTTTTACTATTTAGGACTTTTAATTATTCTAATATACACGTAACACAAAAACCCAAAAGATTTTTTGCTGTACAAATATCAGTATAAGCATATGGATTTGAAATATTCATGTATTTTTCTCATTTTGGATCGTTATATGTAATAAAAGGTAGGATGTAAAATACTACATGTACAATATTCTATTCTTTAAACATGTATTACCATATCTGATATGTACGGATAAATAATTTTAATGAAACATGTGAAATCATGGGAAGGGTTTACATTCTGAAGGAACGAATCGTTTAAAATGAATTATTCAATCTGATATGGCGTATTGTGTAATTTGAGGGAACAAATTGATAATCTGTGAGAATGAATTGGCAATCTGTTATAACAGATTGTCAATCCGAAAGACCGGATTGCATAAATCAAGAACTTGGTTTACTTTTATAATTTTTAAAAAAAAATTTGTCCCTATATGGCTTTCATAGATTGCATACCTGCATGGCTGCCAAGGTTGTAAAAAGAAAGGAGACAATTGACTGCAAATGTTACTTCAGGGCAAAATTCCTGGGGCAAGGCTGTTCGTGAGAATGGGATTGTTGATAAACCATCCAATGAGTTTGACCACCCATGTATATGATGTACGATATTTGGAAAGAGTCTAAAAAATTCAGAAAATGGAAATTCTAACCACAAACTTTATGCAGATTTGAAATATAACAGCAGTCTATAAAAACAGCTTGTTCCATATCTCGGCATTCATTCAAATAGATATTACATGTTTAAATAATGTGTTTGTATGAATAATCAAGCATCATGAGTACACTGTATTATGTGTTTCAAACACTTATTTTTCAAAATATAAATCAAATGTTTATAAACTTGTATGAATGCAATTTCATGAGAATGACACAAATGAAATTTGACTTATTTTTTGAAATTTTAGAATATACAGAAATTTTTAACACCAAAGCAAAAATTTAACTGTTCATTGGTGTCCTTACATCATGTACATATTAATTGGCCTTCGTAGTTCATGGTGGGCTTAGCAGGTGGGTATTCACAGATGAAAGTATTGTTGCATATGGTGCCTGCACCCTAAAAATTCAATGCGAAAGTCGTACATGTACACACTGGTACACACATACCGAAAACAACTATCCATTATTATATATGGCAACTTTGAGTGATTGTCAAAAACATCGAAATTCAAAAGCAACACAAAATTGGTTGAACAATACGATATAGGCACACTGAAACATGAAGGAAGTATTTTCTTTTGAACATGAACTTATGCGTTTTAAACTTAAACTATTCAGTCAATGTAC